TTCCTTCCCTCTTTTCCTTCCTTCCTTTTATTCTTTTTCCTTCCTTTTCTTCCTTCCTTCTTTCCTTCCTTCCTTTCCTTCCTTTTCTTCTTTTTCCTTCCTTTTCTTCCTTCCTTCCTTCTTTTCCTTCCTTCTTTCCTTCTTTCCTTCCCTTCCTTCCTTTTCTTCTTTTTCCTTCCTTCCTTCCTTCCTTCCTTCCTTCTTTCCTTTTCTTCTTTTTCCTCCCTTCTTCCTTCCCCTTTCTTTCTTTTTCCTTCCTTGCTCTCTTCCGCCCTTTCCTTCTTTTCCTTTTTCTTTCCTCTTTCCCTTTCAACTTTGCTCTCGCCTCGCTTTAAGCAGGAAGGCTGCCTGGGTGAAGGATGGATACTAAGGACGGAAACCAACCAGGGAGAGAAGCAACCCGGAATGGAGGAGAAACTCCCCAAGAGTGAGGAGAGCAGTGAACCAGCGGAGCGGCTTCCCTCCAGCAGTTGGGGGAGCTCCGTCGCTGGAGGCTTTTAAGAAGAGCCTGGACAGCCCCCTGTCTGGAATGGTCTGGGGTCTCCTGCTTGCGTAAGGGGGTGGGCTAGAAGACCTCCAAGGTCCCTTCCCGCCCTGTCATTCGCCGTGGCCCCCATCAAACCCCCTTTTAAGGCCTCCTGGCGTTTTAGGCGAGGCAGGGGGGGCCTTTGGGGAAACACGGGAACCGGGAAAGACGCTGCCCCCACAGCCCCCTTGTCCCTCGGTTCTTGCCCTCGCGGCTCCCCCCGAGCCCTGCACGCCCCGGGCCTCTCCGCCTCCCCGCCGGGCCCGCCTCCCCTGGCTCCTCCTCCGGGCGGCGGGCGGCGGGCTTCGGGTTTCCAGTCCTGCTTCTTAAGAACGGCGCCTCGCCTCATCTCGGGGCAGCCGCGGCTGGAGGCGGCCGTGCCGGAGGGGCAGGTGAGCGGCGCCTGGCGCCAGGGGGCTCCGGGGGCTGGGCGGGGGTGGCTGGGGAGCTGCGGGGGCGCAGCCGGGGGCTCTTCGGAAAACTTGGCAGGGGAGAAGAGGCCGCCCGGCTCCCGCCGCCCCACCGCAGCTCCCAGGGCGCTTCTCGGCCAGCAGCGCCGCCGGCGGGGTCAGCGGGGGCCTCCGGGCGTCTTCGGGGCCGGGGGGGGGGAAAGCTCCCGGGCGGGGCCCCTCCGCCTCCAAGCCCAGTCGGGAGACCTGAGGGCGGGCCGGCCGAGGAGCGCCCGCCGAGGGGGACGCGGCCTTATTTGGGGAAAGGGGCCGCTTCTCTTGCCACTCCTCCGCCGGCCACGCGTGGAAGTCAGCCGCCCTCCCGGGGTCGGTGGAAGGCGAGGCCGCCCTTTGCGGCCACCTGTTGCCGGAGCCCCGCCGCCCTTGCTCGCTTCTTCCCCACCCCCCCACCCCCGCCTTCGTCTCGGCTGCTGCTGCTGCTGCTGCTGCGGGGAGCGGGCGCGGCTCCTGCTCGGCCGGCCGCCTGGAGCAGCCGGAGCGCTGGCGCCGTCCCAAGCGCCTGGGCCACCCGCCTCCCGCCGAAGAGACCTCGGTCGTGGTCCCGTAATGGGGGGGGGGCTTCGCCGCCCCCGCCGCTGTGCGGAGCAGCCTTGCTGATTCACGCGGGCGCAGCAGCCTCCTCAGCCGAGGCCCGGAAAGCAGCAGCGAGAGGCTGGTCTGAAGCCCCGCAAACTCCTCAGATTTTCAGTCGGTGCCAGAATTTCCGTCCTCGAAGTTTTTCGCTCCTTTTCTTGCTGAAGGTTCGGTTTGTCCCATTGATCTCGGAGGGACCCCAACACCGCAGCTTCGCCCTCCCGCCTCACTTGCCAGCTCGTTTCCCCCCCTTGGTGCCATTTCCCGGGTTGCCGATGCCGGCCTCTCCCTCTGAGCCACGAACTAAAATGCCTGAGGTGGATTTGGCGCTGGCAAGCGGAGGTTTGGCTTCCTGATGCCCAGGGCGAATGGTGCCAATGAGTTTCTCTTGTGCGTGAATTCCAGTCCAGCTGAAAGGATGGAAGAGGAAGAAAATGAAGGCTAAGGGGAAGAAGAAAAGCAACATTCTAGTTCTCTCTATTTTGGTTTAATCCTACTGTGGGCTAAGGGAGGACTAGAAGAATATGGGAAGAAATGCAAACAGCTTGGGAGGTGGAAGTTGCATACATTTGACAGAAAACAACCACATAAATTGGAAGGTGCTTAAATATTTGGAATTCTGTAACACTGACTCAGGTTTCCCAAATCTGGCACTGTCCAGATACACTGAGATTAAAATTTGCTGGATTCCTACCCATCAGTGCTAAATAAATCACACAGCATCTTAGAACCACTAATGGGTTGGATCAATATTTATCTTTAAAAAATGTTTGCCAAGGTAAAGAGAACATATACATTTATGTTTCGGGGACCAAACCACTTTCAGTCCTGTGAATTTATTTCACTTTTCTGCTTAGACCACAGTCCTTCTGTGCATGATGGGTTGGGTGACCACACCAAACATTTGAAGCAACTGGCAATATTTTTCCACATAAAGATTCCAACCTCATAACAGCTGCCAATGTTTATTGACAGAAGAGAAAACGCCCAAATCCTCAAACCAAAGATGTCTCCTATCATAACCGGGTTAGGAGTCCCAGCAGTGTGGAGGTGATGCTGCTAATCAAAACTCAACACTCACAAAAAGTAAAGAATGTTTATCTGAAGAAAAGCTTAGGAAAATAGCCACATCGTTGCATGAGGTTTGATTTGCCACATGTGAGCATTGGCAGTTATTGAGCTGAGCAAAGCAAGAGACTGGAATGAGCAGAAGCAGAATTAAAACTCTCAAAAACTGTAATGTAAGGTCTGTATATGACCCCCCTACCCTGCCCCGTTCACTTTGCTAGTCTTGGATCTCCCCGGATGTGGGGGCAGGAAGCTGGTCTCCTAGATCGGTTTCTAAAGTCCTCCTTTGGCAACCTTTAGCCAAGAATTCCTTGGCCCAAAGAAATCTCTGTCTTCCCAAAGGCCACTCCTATGCCCCTCACTGGAAGAGGGCGGAGTGTCTTTAGAAGGGTAGAATATTTACAATCCCTTCGGGTTCATAGACTACACACTACATTAATGCACAACCACACTCTTTTCTAGGGAGAAAACAATGCAGTTAGTCCTCGACCTACAAACACAATTGGGACCAGAAATACTGTTGCTAAGCAAGGGGATTGTTAAGCGAGTCATGGCCAATTTTATGACTTTCTTGCCATGGGTGTTAAGCAACTCACCTCAGTTAAGTGAATCATGTAACCATTGAGCAAATCTGGCTTCTCCCATTGACTTTGCTTGTCAGAAGATGGCAAGCGGAGACCACATGACCCCTGGGACAATCATTGTAAATACATGGCTGGCTGCGGAGCATTGGAGTTTTGGCCGTGGGATTGGTGATGCTGCAATGGTTGTGTGAGGATTGGTTGTATGTTACTCTTTTCAGCACTCTTGCAACTTCATGTGGCTGCTAAATGAATGGTTCTAAGTTGAAAATTACCCATGTATATTGTTCTTCCCTTTCCATATTAGTCTCCAGTGAGACTGACTTGTAAGAGCCCAGCAGCACCTGCTGGTGAAGAATGCAACAGAGTTTAGAAAAGAACATTCTTTGGTTTGTTTTTCTAAGCCCAAGTGCTACCTAAAAAAGGCAAAAGATGAGTGGCGTTTGAGTTGACTAAAATAAGGGCCAATAAAAGTCACACACTTGCGTTTGTATGGCAGGTACTCACGCAGAGGGTTGGAGGTTTTTTTTATGTTTTCCCCAAACTAACTTGTCAGTACTTATTTATTTATTTGATTTGTCAGTCACTTGCAAAATAATAGGTATAAGTATAAACATGAGTAAGAATACAGAAAATAGGTATGATTAAATGGGGACAATAGGACAGGGACCAGGAGGCACGATGGTGCACTTATGCACGCCCCATTACAGACCTCTTAGGAATGGGATGAGGTCAATAGTGGAAGTTAAAGGAGTGGGGGTTAGAGGATGTAACAACAGAGTCAGGTAGTGCATTTCAGGCATTGACCACTCTGTTGCTGAAGTCAATCAGATTTGAAGTCAATCAAGTTTGGAGCGGTTTACATTGAGTTTGTATCTGTTGTGTGCTCTTGTATTGTTGTGGTTGAAGCTGAAGTAGTCATTGACTGGTAGGACATTGTAGCAGATAATTTTGTGTACTACACTTAAGTCCAACTGTAGGCAGCGTAGTTCAAGATTGTCCAAGCCCAAAATCTCAAGTCTGGTGCTGTAGGGTATTCTGTTGCGAGCAGAGGAGTGTAGTCCTCCTCTTGTGAAATACTTCTGGAGTCGCTCAATTGTATTAATGTCCGATATACAGTGTGGATTCCAGACAGATGAGCTGTATTCGAGTATTGGTCTAGCAAAGGTTTTGTATACCCTAGTTAGCAATTCAATGTTTCCAGAGGAGAAGCTTCGTTGTACTTAAGAAATTCTGTCTGTCCCCGTCTCTCTTCTGCATTACACCCTTCCCAGAAACTGAAAAGTTAAATCATTTCGCTGAGAATGTTCCCTGTTCCAGAATGACGTCATATGGAGGCTGTACAGATGACGGCTTAGAGCAGACTTGGCCAAATAATATAGCAGTTGTTTCGAGCTTTGGGGGGGAGGGATCAGGAAGGGGCCTTGGGAAGCCAAACCAGTCTCTTGGCCGTTGCCTTCGGCAAAAGGATTTCAGTTTTTAAAGCGCTGTAATTCAAAACAGAACCGATGGGCAAAAAAGCTTTTTAAACATTTTAACCGCAGAAATGCCATGCCACTGTGATTCCTTTTCAAATTCTCCTTTCCTAAATAATGCCCTCAAAAGTCTTCCTATGACTTCTCGATTTAATGTTTTTAAATCCCCACTTTCCCACTCTGTTTACAGTACAAAGCTATGGCATCTGTGTGGTGTAAGGATGTGCCTGTTTCTCCAGAGCTGATTCACCGTCTCCTTTCTCTTTTCAAGGAAGAGATGGCAGATTTTGAACTTCCAGTGGAGCAGGATAGTGAAGAAACCTTGGAGCCAAATGTTGCCAGTGTGGGAACATTGCCAGAATGTAACCAAGAAAATGTCCCCGAGTTCTTCTACATGGACCCTGTTGGCGCTCAGTTCCAGCAAAATCCAGAGATTGCTGGGGCCTCACTGGGCCTTCAGGATTCCATGGCTTGCCAAGACTTCTCTGCTGTCGAGAGCCAACCTGTGGACATGGAAGATCTTGGAGAACGTTTCCAGCAATGCATTGAAGCAGTAGAACAGCTAGAGGAGGAGAGGGATGGGCTTATTAAGGAGCTCACACTCTTACGCCAACCGGCTCTCGATGAACTCCAGAGGGCCCATGAAGAGATTCTGGAAGCCTATAGGCTCCATGCCAAGGTAGAGCTAGAGAAGGATAACCTGCGGGATGAGATTCGACAGGTGAAACAGAAGCTATTTAGGGTGACGCGGGAATGCGTGGCATGCCAGTATCAGCTGGAAACCAGGAGGTACGAAGTCACTCAGCACGTGGACTACCGAAAAGAACTGGAGAACCGAGTTGGCCAGCTCTCAGAAGAGCTGTCCCAGTTGAGAGAGACTTGTGAGGAAGAGAAGGAACATTTTAGGCAGAGGCTGAAGGCTCCACGGCACGAGAGGAGCAGCCGTCACCTCCAAGAGAGCCGGCGGCTTTCCATGGAATTTGAGAGTTTTGTACTAGAGAACCGTCAGTGCTTGGAGGAGCATTATGAACCGAAGCTGATGCGCCTCTTGGAAAGGAGAGAAGCCAGCAGCAAAGCCTTGCAAATGACACAGAGGGAAATCCACAGACTGAAGGAGACCCTGAGGCCGTTGCAGGGAGAAGTCAGCAAATTGCTACTGCAAAACAGGAATCTGGAGGAACAGATTCTGCTGATCAAGCAGAAACGTGACGAAGAGGTCCTGCAATACAAGGTAAATCTCCTGGCCTACACCTGCCCTCTTCCAGTTAGCGGCTAGGCCATTTGATGCAGCCCTTGCCCCCAGCAAGGTAGCTCGGCAGGGCAAAAGGAGAGTTGAGCTAAACTCTTATCATTGAGGAAGAACAACGTTGGGCTGCTGCAGGTGAGTGAATCAACTGGTTAAGAGAGAGGGAAATCCATTGCAAGAAAAATGGCTCCATAATGCTTTGCTCTGGAAACATTCGCTTTGTGTCTTGTCAGTCGCAAACAATCAGACCCAGGCGGCGTTCCAACTAGCTACTTCATTATTCTCTGCCTATAATACAAGAATCTCCCAGTCTGGCAGCTTTCCTCTGCGAAAGCCTCAAAGTGGGGAGGGCCAGACTGGCCTTCTTGTACTCACCTAGTGAGTCTAGAGACCCATGTCCCATTTGAGCCCTCCCCACAACTGGGACGGCTGCTTTGCAACACATTTGCAGATTGTTCTCGACTTGCAACCACAATTGGCACCAGCATTTCCATTGCTGAGCAGGGTGTTATTAAATTAGTTGCACTTGCACCCTATTTTATGAACTGTTTTGCTACCGTTGTTAAGAAAATCTCTGCAATTTTTTAATGAATCACATTAAGCAAATCTGGCTTCCCCCATCAACTTTTCTTATCAGAAACTGGCAGGAAAGGTTGCAAATGTTGATCACATGATGCCAGAACACTGCAGTTGGCCCACTTGCCATGCACCCCAATTTTGATCATTTGACTGTAGGTGATGGCCATGAGTGTGAGGACCAGTCATAAGCCACTTTTTTCAGTGCCGTTGTAACTTCAAACAGCAAATTAATTGTTTTAAATCAAGGATTATCTGTATTGTAAAAGAAAACTGTGGTCCCACCTTTGACACGCAAATCAAAACCAAATATGACGGTTGTGATAGTGTAGCAAGTTATATGAAGCAAGCCAGAGAAAAGCTTGTCATTTTCTATGCCATCTTTTTATATCTCTCTCTCTGTGGTTATCAAGACTAACAAGCCTTGTTATCTATGTACAAATAACCAGATAAATTATCCCGTGCTTTCCTCAGAGAAGGCACTGTAACCTTATATTCAGTTTACAAAGGCACCACAATCATGAGAAAATAATCTGCAATTGGTGACTGAGCTGCCTCTTTATTAGGCCCTCTGCTGAGGAAGTTATTTTAATTCCCTGCCATCCATCAAGCTCTGTTTCCTCCCAGCTCAGCTGGGCTGTGGCTATTTGCAGAGGAAGGGAGCCCGTTTTGTGGTCTTGTCCTGATTTAACACGTTCTTTTCTCTAAGAGCTGGGCTTTACCCTAACCCATCCTTTGGCAGGAGACCACCACGCTATGTAGAGGACAGATGTTGTGGAACGATGGCACTTCTGAATACATTCATTTCTGACGTCTTTTTCTGCTGAGAGCAGCCTTTTGAATCTGTGGCGCAGCTTGCAGAGGCAAAGCGATTGTAACTCCAGCAGAGTTGGAACTCCAAAAGTCCTTTTCTAAGGAAGCTTTATTGCTCTTCTTCAATTATTCAAATTCTCTTTGTTCCAAAAGGAAAAACTAGCAGGATTAAGGGGAGCTATCTATGTACTTGTTCAGAGAGATTTTAAAACCATGTGATCTGACCCCTCTCTGGAGAGTATATAAATAACGCCCTATTTTTTGTAGGCCACAGGAGCACATTTTGCTTTCTATGAATAGGACTGATCTGTAACATATTCATCCAGTGAGGACTCTGAAGGGTCTGCGGGACATCAGAATAATAAGAGTTGTGAAATGTGCTGGGACCAGATTTAATATTTCTTTTCAGGAAGAGACTACAACTGAGGAGCCACAAATGCACCTGAAACAGCACCAACGGCTATCACACCAACACCCTCAGCCCTCAACTTAAAACCATTCATTTAATGACTGAAATTATGATACTGAAAAAAAGTGATGATCAGTCCTCGCACTAACAACCATCGCAGCCTTACCACAGCCCTCTGATCAAACTTCAGGCCCTGGGCAACCTGTGTGTATCTATGATGGTCATGGTGCACCCCATGCAATCCACCTTTTGCTACCTTCCCAGCCTGCAAAGTCTGACAAGCACAATCAACGGGGGAAGCTGAACAGCAACAAAGTTTGTAAAATTAGATGTAACTCAGTTAACAACCGCCTTGCTTAACAAAGGAAATACTGTCTCCAATTGTTATCCTATGTCAAGATTTATCTGTATCAAGAAACATCAGCACAAGATGATTATATTGCTAAGCTAGTAATATATCTTTAAGACAGTGCAATGTCTTTCATGTGCAAAGATAATTAGAATAAACAAAATCATTTAATTTCATGATGGTAAAACTTTTGTAAAACAAATAGTGAATCACATCACTTCTACAAGCCAGCAGACTTGTAAGTAAACTCATGCTGCAAAATTATTTCACCAATTACATGATCACTCACTCTTTTAAAGTTTATTGTGTAAACTTTGATTTGGCCTTAAAAGGGCTTGTATGATTTTGTCCCCTCACAACTAGATTTGTTTTCATGCATTTTCAAAACAAAAAATACAGTATAGAATGGGAGGGTGTAACTTGGATTTCACCCACGGGATGTTTAAATCTGGCCTGCAGGACCAGCCTGGAAATAGCAAAGGACCGGCCTGTGGTGCCTCTGGCAGCCAAATGGGACGTGAGGGGCCTCGTGTGGCCCCCCTGTGCCCCATTTTGGCTAGCAGGGTGCTGCAGGAGGCAATCTGGGGGCAAAAACAGGGCATGGGGGGCTCACACATTATGGCCAACAGGGTGCTCCAGGAGGCCGTCCAGGCTGAAAACAGGGCACGGAGGGGGGGCTCATGTGGCCCCTTCACACCCCATTTTGGCTGGCAGGATGCTGCAGGAGGCATCCAACCACATGGAGAACTACAATGCTGATCTGGCCCTCAAAGAAATCCAGTTTGACACCCCTGGTGTAGAACATATAAAAAGCTAGCTCTCTAAATGCATGTTGGGTTAGGATTTATATGTTACATATTTATGTTACATATGAACTAGACCCAGAGTGCTGACGTTGTATGGAGTCTGTTTAGCAGCCATTTTGCTTTCAGATTTCTGTGGTCTTTTCATGCATTTTTTAAAAACTTTTGACAGTTGCCCAGACTGATTGATTTTAAAACCAAATGTCAATTTAAATGAAACAACAGACAATTCTCATTTAGCAAACTGCCTTATTTAATGAACACATGCAGTTATGATTATAAAAAAGTTAATGTTGCAACCAATCCTCTTATTTATGCCTTTCACAGGTCTATAAAACAAAGATGGTGAGGAGTCATTTTTTGACATTTTAATGACTTGAGTTTCCAGTCCCAGTTGTGGTCATTCAACAAGGAACACCTATAATTTATTCCAATTATCATAAGTTTATAGCTTCCATCAAGCATGCGACCTGTGATTTGGCTGACTAAAAAGCCCTACTGCAAATCTCCTGTTTGCAGGTTTCCTTTTCGGTTCACCCACCCCCCAAGTTCACCCCCAAGGGGCCGTTCCTGAATATTGCAGAATAGCAAAGCTGAGGCCATCTTGACTGCAACGTAAGGCCACCATGAAGAAGTTAAAGCTTTCTTTCTTAGAAGACAATTTACATACCAGGACAGCTAGCATTTGTTTAGTGACCCTTCAAAATCACAGGCACTGGAATAAAGTTCCCACCAGCCCTCACACAAGTGTGAACTTGAGGGATGGACAAGTGAACTGAAAAGGAAACTTGCAAACAGGAGATTTGCGGTAGGGCTTTTTAGTCAGCCAAATCACAGGTCACATGCTTGATGGAATCTATACACTTATGAGAATTGGAATAAATTAGAGGTGTTCCTTGTTGAGTGACCACAACTGGGACTGGCAACTCGGTCATTAAAATGTCAAAAAATGACTCCTCACCATCTTTGCGGCATCTCCAGTCATGTGATTTAGAATTTGGGGGCTTGGCAACCGATGTGTATTGATGATGGTTGCAGTGTGCTATGATCATGAGATCAGCACTTAGGATTTTCCCAGCTGGATTCTGACAAGCAGAGTTAATGGAGGGAGGCTTGATTTGCTTAGCAGCATGATTCATTTAACAACTGTGGCAAAAAAAGGTCGTAAAACTTGAGCATGATTCAATAACTGCCTTGCTTAGCAACATGATCCCAACTCTGGTTGTAACTGGAGGAGTACCTGTCCTTTTTCGCCCACAGGAGCAAGTGGAGGAGAAGGAAAACAGAATAAGGGAACTGAAGACTGGAGTTCAACTTCAGCAACGAAAGAACCAGGAATTGGAAGAACTGAAAGCCAGTTTACATCAAGAACTGTCCATTTACAAGTAGGTTTCATTTCTTTGATCCATGTCCACGTAAAAGCAAAATAAGGAAGAAAACACCATTAATAGAGAAGGGTTTGAAAATAATTTAAGAAATACTTTGGAGCCAGGAGTCTTGATTTCCTATTTTTTCTACCTTTGTAGCTTGCTTCCTGGCCTTTGGGCTGTAAGTGTAGCTTAAGAGCCACTCTTACTATACTAAGAGTAGAGCATCTTGCTCTGTACAGGCTATTTAGGAAAACCATGGTGGCATATAATCATATAATCTTGTGTAGACAGGATTTTTGTACAATATTCAAATTATAATAAAGGTATCTTGCTTTGATATAAAAATGGTTACATAACTTTTTCTACTGTCACATTTCCTTCTAAGTACAAGCTCAAAGCACCCCAAAATTGTTATTTTGCAATATATTGTGCTTTGTAATGTAGAACTGATGCAGCTGCATAACCAATTCTCAATTCTCACAGAGGCTGCTTGGAAATGTACGGGCAACTATGCAAATCGGAAGTGAAGGAAGATGAAGACTGAATCCTACACACGGCCATCTTTCCCTTTGCTTACCAATATGGACTCCATCCGACTAATACTGGTAGCAAACAATAAGCAAGTTTTCTAGAATGAGAGTTTGCATTTTTACTGTTAAAAAGGGTAACAATTTTCGAGATGTGGCCCTTATGACAGATGTGATGTTAACAGAACACCACATAAGCATTATCAACAATGTACAGATGACATGACAAGACCTTTGTCAATTTTAATTTTCTGTATAAAACTTGCTTATGAATAGTGGAGCTTTTTGTAGACTTGTAATGTAGATTACTAAGAAACAAAACTTCAATCAAAAGCTTTTCATACAAGAACTGCTTTCCTATAGGGAGTTTTCCATCGATGACACTCACTCAGCAACCATTCCAAGTTATGACACTAAGTGAATGGTAGTTATGACCAGTCATTGGATTTCTGGCTGTCCCAGCAGCAGCCCCACAATTGCATGATTGCAACTTGGGTGCTTGGCAGTCTATATACAACCAATTGCCAAGCACCCCGTGATCACCATTGCGCACATTTCCTTGGGCACTTCTCCAGAAAAGTCAACAAGGAGGCTAGCGGGGAAAGTGGATTTAGATAAGACAATTTATATGGCCAGTGATTCTGAGCAGCATACAAAGTTTTAAGTGTGTCGTCGTCCCCGACTCACAGGGTACTTCTCACATACCTTCACATCATGCCCCCCCCCCAGGGCAGGGGGCTACCTGCCTGCAAGCCTGAAACTGGCAACTTCCTCCCAGCGCCGCCCCCCCCCCCCCCAATCTCCTTGCGGGAAACTGGCAGGAAATTGCCTTGCCCAACCACCCGGGTGACAGCAACCAGGAATGCAGGAAGTGCTGTTGCGAAGTGGTGCGGAACAGAACTACTATGCGCAGAACTATTGCAAAAAAGCTGCATACGCACAAGCAAACATAGCTTTCAACATTAGGACCATCTTTAGTCAGTTGCACATAATCACACAATTTTTATTCCCTAAGAACAATTTACTTCAGCTGATCTATCTATACAGGGTAGCCCTTGGTTGTTTAGCAACCATTCAGTTACACGAGACTCCCCCCCCCCAACCCTTCTCACCCACCCCCCCCCCCCAACTCACACACCACTCCAGTTACACACACACTCATTTTGGCAATAGTTTGCAGCATCCCAGAGTCACATGACAATTTGTGACTTTTTTTTTTTAAATTTCTGGCAGAAAACACCCATGGGGAAAATAGATTCATTTAATCCCCATGGCATTCACTTAACCACCATAAAATTGTCAAAATATTGGGTACAATCACATAACACATCAATTTATGACCACAATGACTTATGATTGTAGTTCCAGGGTCAATTATGATTGTAACTCAGGGAGCATCTTTACTTTCTAAGAAACCTAAAAGACAAACTTTTCAAAAATATATAATTTGTTAAAAGATCTACACATGTTCAGGTGAAGAAAAAAAGACGAGTCACATTCTACATAAAAAATGAATTTATTTCAGTTGAAGTTCTTTACAGAGTTCATGAAGTTACACTGGATGCTGGTGAAACAGTTAAATCCACACAGCAAATATTTGGGGTGGGGGTGGGGGGGGACTGAACTAGCTTCATGGTTCTTGATTATGTATACCTGCTACCAGTGCTCAATTCTAGGAAGCTGGGCATGAGGTCTGCAATCTATCACTCAGCTGAAACACCTTTTACAACTTGGTTCCCAAGTTAAAACACAAAAACAAAAACAAGAAAGATAAAACACATTTCAAGAGAGATAGCGACAGCCGAGCAATGTGCAGATATGTAGACCATCCCCATATTATATTCATATCCTAACATCCTAAGATGCCTTATTGGAAAATGATAAGAGGGAAGAGGATGTTGCAGAGAAACCTAGGAAGAAAGTCTTACAGCAGCTAGAGACGCGAACGAGGATTGATGAACCTGCGTTGGATTTATTTAAGCCAAGAACTTGGTGATTAGAGAACAAGAGTAACTCCAACTCTTTTATTGGAGGGCATCAAAAGTATTTATAGTAAGAGAATCCCCTCTGCAACTTGTACTGCAACGGTTTGAGCATACCTTGTATTTTTTTAAAAATCACAAATTAATCTTATAGTTGTGGCAACAGATATTCACACTAGCATAGCTCACAAATTCTTTAGAAGAGAAATGGTCAAAAAGGCCAATCTGTCAACATTCAACAGCAGCCTTTTACATTCTCAGTCGAACAGCATTCACAAATGAGCGGCTGGATGCACAGGGTGTGACTTCTTTCTCTCAAATGTTGTCAGTCTTAGGATAGTTAGAAAAGGCAGGAGGAGGACAGGAAGAGAAATAAGAAAAGGGGCCACGTGTCTAGGATCCTTGTCCTTCTGGATCCACGCTTCCTTCAGGATCTTCATCGTTATATATGTTCTCAGCCTACATAGGGGATGAATAGAGAAATAAGTATTGATTCGGTGGGCAAAGCATACCAATTCTGAAGGCAACTGTTAACTGTTCCAACTGAAGAGAATATATGCAGCTCAGAGTTGAACTGCATTGTCCTTGGCGCTCTCTGAGCTCGGTGGCTTGTCTGCAAACTTCCATTACAATTCACACCTTGACGTTACTTTGTTTACCCAATGAGGTACCATCAATGTGAATTGCAAGGAAATGCCTCCAAGAAAGCCACCAAGCTCAGGAAGCACCAAGAACTTCACAATTTTTAACCGTGTCACTGACAGGTAACATTAAGCAGCTTTAACATGCAACAGTGTTTATCTATTGTAAGGATTCTATTCAGTGGTGGGATTCAAATACTTGAACAACCAGTTTGCCCAGGGTAAGGTTGGCCGTCATGAGATATGTGGCCAACCCCGTCCTCCAGTTCCACTGCACATGCGGGACGAGTCTCTTGCAATGGCCAACCTGACCCCAGGCGAATTGGTTGTTAAATTACCTGTTCCTCTCCTCCCCCCCCCCCCCCCCCCCCCAGGCTATCAACATGGATCCTGGGCACTTGCTGCTGCAATGGAGAAACCTGGAAATGGAGCTGCCGGCATGAGGGAAGGAGGAGGAGCAAGGAGGATGGAAAGCGGCTCCCTTCTCTCGCGCAGGCGGCTCTTTTGCCCGTTTCTCCACTGCAGCGCAGTGCCACACCACGGAGCTTGCCCCACCGCCACTGCCCAGATGCCCTGGCTTCTCCCAAGCATTTGTCTACCCGATTGCCAGCTCCATCCCGTTTCAGGCCATCATGTGCAGGGAAACGTTCGTGGAACTTAAAAAAAAAAAGTTCAATCAATTCCAAACTCGTGAGGGGTGTTGTTTTTTGCGAGAAGTAGGAATTGATTGAGCTTTTTTTTTTTTTTTTAGTTCCACTAACGTTTGTTTCCCTGCGCGTGACGGCCTGAAACGGGCTGGAGCTGGATATCAGGTAGGCAAACAAATGCTTGGGGGAAGCGAGGGCACCTGGGCGCTGAAACGGGCCAGTCTCTAGCCAGCATCTACCAGCACTTAAAACGTGACCGCTTCCCACCTCCGGCCAGGAAGGGGCAATTGGCAGGGGCGCTGGCTTCAGCACCCGCCCCAACCCTCTGGCACTCCGCCGGCACTTTGGCCCCGGGCTGCCACCTTAGGTGTGGCCCCAGTGAAATCCCTGGAGTTTTCGCCTGGGTAACGTGACTGAATGTTTCTGTTGCTCCCCACTTAGACTTTTGGGGAGGGTCCCCCCCCCGCCAACTGGAAGGATGCTGAACAAAAACCAGATGTGTTCCAGAACACACAGATTTTTCCGGAATATGTCTAACTGGTTCGCCACACTCAGCAAAAACGTTGGGTATGATTAGTTGTGACCGGCTGAATCCCACCACCGATTTTATTATTCTTTCCTCAATCACCGGTGATAAATTCCCTTGATTAGCATAAGGAACTTTCAACATACTCTAGAACAGGGTTGCCAAACTCACATTGCCACATGACGGATTGTGACACTTTCCCCCCTTTCGCAAAACTGGGGGTGGGCGTGGCCAGGGTGTGATGCCTTGGAATGTCACATTCTTTAAAGACATTGCCATAATAGAACTAATTCTAGGGTCAACACTGTTCATGCAAGGAACGATTAAAAGATTAAAAACTAACCGAAGCAATGGAACAGGCAACTAAAATTTGCACTTTGGCTTAGCCTTGAAATAACCAAATACGTACCATCTGCCACACTTGCATTATATTGTCTTCTGATACAGAACAAATTACCCAGGGTTCATTGGGATTCCAGGAGAAGTCAGATATCTTTGCAGTGTGACCCCCATGAATGAACTAATATCAAAATCAAGAGAAAGTGACAAATACACAACAGCAATGGGGCATACTATCAGAAACAAACTTCATAAAATCCAAGAGACGTAAAACATATCTAGAATACAGTAAAATATTGGCCTAGCAGTAAAGATGCTGGAGTTTTCTATTTTAACTTACATGGACATACAAAGTCAACATGTGCAAAATTTATAGCAGGAACTGAATTTTTAGGCTCTAAAATAATCCCATTTCTTCTTCAATTTCTCTATTATTGATGTGGCTCAATGGTTTTTCAGAAATTACTCCTCAAAACCAAAATAGTTTATGGTATTCTGTTAAGACTGGGGATAGATCATGGAAAAACACTGAGTTGTTTGGAGATTAACTTCCTGGAAATCAGAGGAAAAACTAAGGCGGACCAGACTGATACAACCTGGAGGAGAAATGTTACGCAATGTGATCACACTCAAAAGCCACTATAGGGTCCCTGAGCAAGCATCATTCGACCATACACCTTATTTTACTACCTCTTTTACTGTGGTGTGGATATGGAAAGCACATCTCAGGACAAAACAGATCATAACAGAAGGTGGCAAAAGCAAAACGTTCAGTCAGGCAGATTCTGGAATTTTGGGTAAAAGATGGAGGAGGGAATCACTTCAAACAGAGAAAAGAAACAGAGAATACCACTGTGGCAAGATAGGAGGGGTCCTTGGTGCTCTCTGAGCTTGGCTGTTTTCTTGCAGATGTTTCATTACCCAACTAGGTAACATCATCAGTGCTAATAAGGAGTGGGGTTTGCTCTCAGTTTATATTCTAGTGCAGGCGTGTCAAACTGGCGGCTGTGGTCAGGATGCGTCACGTGCAGGCCACACCCACCACCGCTCTGCAAAGGGAAAGTCACGATAGATCACGTGACAGCAAAGTGACCTGGTTTGACACCCGTGCTCTAGTGGCTTACCCTCTCGGTCTTGGTAGAGATGGTCTTAGGGCAGGCGTCAAACTCAAAGCCCGTGGGCCGGATCTGGCCCACAGGGTGCTTAGATCTGGCCCCCAGGGCCGCCCTGAGGACCGTAAAGGACCGTTTTTGGCCTTCAGAGTGCGGCTGGAGAGGCCGAAAACAGGCTGTGGGGGGCCGCACTCCCCCAGGGCCCCTTTTGACTGGCAGAGGCACTACAGGCAGTCCTTTGATATTGCCAGGCCAGTCCCGTGGGCCTTGAGTTTGACACCTGTCTTAGAGGGTCTCTGATTGGGCTATTTACTGTTGATTGTTTGGCAGTTCCTTGACTAGGCTTATTGTCAGTCTGATGTTTATTCTGGAGTAAATCGATGCTTATCAGGGTGCTGATTGTTGGCGGGGAGAAGTTTTGATCTTTTGATTCCCTTGTTGGCTTGTTGTCTCTTTTGAACAATATGCAGGTATTGTTTATGTCTATGGATGTCTAATTTGTCAGAGTGCCAGGCTTCTAGAAATTCCCTAGCATTTGGGGATTCGGCTTGGGGTAGGTCAGTTTCCCAACTGAAACTATGGTTAACTGTGAAATTAAAGTTTTCATCATGTCTTCTGACCGCTAGTTGGTATTCATGGATGCATTCTGTCGGTCTTCTGCCTCTTCGTCCTACTGTTGTAGTCACTGTAGATGGCTCCTGTTTTTGTTTTTTTTCTGGGGTTTCTGGATCTTTTGGTTTACTTAGGACGTTTTGAAAGGCTTTAGCTGGCTTGTGTGCTACTCTGATGCCATGTGGCTGCAGTAGTCTGTTGGTAGTTTCTGAGATGTTCTTGATGTATGTTAGTGTTATTCTTTTTAGGGCTTGTGTTGGTTGTACTGTATTGGGTTGAATGGTTGAGTAGATTAAAGTACCCACTTACCAGCAATTCAGGGGGACCATCTTCTGCATCCTCAGGAGATTGTTCTTCTCCAATTTTACTAGAAAAGAAGCAGCTGAATTATATGAAAGCCATTCCTGATAAAAAATTTATATACATGTCATTACACTAATTTGATGCTCACCTCAAATCCCAGACATTCAGTCGGCGATCAGTACCACTGGAGGCCAAAATAGTTTCATTATGTGGTGACCATTGAACCTGTGGAGTAAGACGATGCAAAACACATTGTTGTAGTACAGGCAGTCCTCACTTAATGACAATTTGAAACAGCAACACCATTGTGTGTTGCATGTGCATGTGACAGTGATGGATTTATAATCTCTCTTCCACCAGTGATTAACCAAATGTGAGACATTTCATGACCATAATCTATCTCAATTTTTATTAATCCTTCTCTAACTCAAATGCTACAACATACCACTTGGGGGACCGTCCTCAGACATGTGAACTATTTGGTTACAACAATCTTATTTCCTAATCTTAATTCCATTCACTGGCTAAGTATTTGGCTTAAGAAAGCTTAATGGCGAGTAAACTATTGCGCACACCCCTGGAGCAAAAAAAATGGAACAGTACATTAACCAAATGTTTGCTTTCATTGTAGAACTTTTGAAAGATCTTCTTAAAAACAGTCAACTTGTTGAATGATCAAGAGCAAGGCATTCCATAACCATTATATGAATTACCTGAAATATTTCATCTTTATGTGACTCAAAGGAATGTAGCTTAAGTTTCAAGTTTCTCAGATCCCACAATGCAACAGTCTGTCCAGGAAGATAAAACATTTTGACAAATTAAAACATTTACTCTTTATTTCATATATAGCAGTCAATATAGTGCAATCATATGTCCAATACCTCAATACCAAAAAAAACCCCAAAACCACCAAAACAAAAACCCCTATGTACTATGCTGATCAAAATAAAAAGAGCCGTAAACTGAAACCAAACACTACACATAATTCTAGTTAGGTACCTTATCGGCTGATCCTGTAGCCAGGATGAACTCGCTGTAAGGATTGAAAGACAGGCAATTCACTTCAGCAGTGTGAGCATCTACCGAATGGCTTGGTTTAGAAGTGTTGTTTGAACGGGTGTCCCAGCTTAAAAAGAAAGAAAATAAATTCAGTTTGAGAAACTATTTTCATAAGCTAGTAATATATACATTATTGTAAATATGATTAACAAAGCCCTCTTCTCTTTATAAAAAAATAAACCAGAAATTCAGTTTGAGTTAAGGGATGCTGCTTTGCTTACATCATGAGTTTCTGATCATCAGCAACAGATCCAAAAAGAGATTCGTGGAGCAAATGCCAGGAAACATCCTCTACCACAGCTGTATGACCAGTGAAGATAGTTTTAGCATCCACCACTTTCCCTTCCTTTGGAACAGCACTTATGTCCCACAAGCAAATAGTCTTAAACAAGGAGAGAAAGTGTGTTTTGTTAGGATAATTTTACCTGGCAATTAATACATGTAATGGGATGGCTAAGTACGTAACTACTCACGTGGTCATCAGATGCACTAAGCAAATGTCCACTAAGATTTGGATTCCAAGACAGACCATAACCTTCTTTTTGATGCCCCCGAAGACGCAGATCTGGATTGCACTCCCCGGAAGGATCTACAAGGAAAGCAGCGGCTCAGCAAGAGCACAAATGTAATAAAATAATAATCTTTGCTTCTCATTTTTTTAAACATTTAACACTAGGGAATTGCAAATAGCAAGCATGTAATTTCTGTGAAAAAGTGTTAGCTTTAATACCAACCTGAAACAAAATTAAGAAAAATGTGGGATAGAAATGTTAAACTGACTATGTCAACTGCATATAAAGAAAATTTGTATGAAATTTTTTACAGATGGCATTTTGCTCCAACAAGATTAGCAAAAATGTATAAGGATAGATCTACTAAGCGTTGGAAATGTAATCAAACCTCTGGTTCATATTACCATATGTGGTGGACATGTCCACATACTTGGTTGGAAAAAATGATGAAACATTTATATATGAAACCAGATATATTTTTATTGGGCATTCTACCAGAAAAAATATGTTAAGACTATATACTTGATTTTATATGTACTAACTGCAGCTAGAATTGTATAGGCTCAACAATGGAAGTGTGATGAGATACCAACTGATGAGAAGGTAATTAAGAAAATATTAGAATGTGCAGAATGGAGACACTAACGCTTACTATTAAGGACAAAGAAGAAACTAAATACTTTTTGACATATGACTTATTTTATCAATGGCTAGACAATAAAAACAGAAGTTAGAAAGGGACAGGATAAATGTTAAAATGGAAATTTGTTAAAATGGACAAACAAAATATTGTTAGTACAGTATTAATTTTATTGTGATATATTATTACAAACACTTTATTGATTGCCTAAAAATAATGGTGCCCTATTTGATTGAAATGGATTTTTTATATATTATACTAATAAAACAAATAAAACTTTAAAAAAAGAAAGAAAACTTGACTGTCTAGTTCAGGGGTGTCAAACTCGATTTCATTGAGGACCGCATCAGAGTTGGGGGTGGGGGGGGGCTTGGCCAGCTCAACGTCACTCATGTCGGAGTCGCCTGTGGTGACCCAAGCCCTCTGCCAGCGAAAACGGGACCCCAAGGTCTGTTTCCGGTTGCAATGGTCTCCTGCAACCCCTGCCAGTGAAAATGGAGCTTGTGAGGGCCGCGGGCCGCCTTCCCAGGTTCCGTTTTTGGCTGCGAAAGCCTCCTGCAACCCACTGCCAGAGGCGCCACTGGCTGGTTGTCCACTGTTTCCAGGGCAGCCCCGCAGGCAAGATCTAAGCATCCCATGAGCCAGATTTGGCCCGCAGGCCTTGAGTTTGACACCCCCTGGTCTAGCTGAACCACATCATTAAACCGTTACTCAAAATCCTAACCACTACCATATGTTTTTCAATGCCAGAATGCATACATGTTTATTTTCAAATAATAATTACTTAGCCTATTATAACATTAAGACTATATTTCTAAACAGATGGAAGACATGCAAATCGGCAGAAACCTGGTTTAGACGGATGTTTGGTATAATCAAATACAAGAACATCACTGGATGGAGTTTTTGTAGCAATAATGCAAGGATTCTGAGGCATGTAACGGGCTCTATTCACTTCTCCTTCATGGTTGATCTTTATTTCAATTTCGATTTTTCCACTCACAGATCCAAAGCCGCCAAATTCTGGAAATAAAAGATAAGGTTTATAAACTCGAACTTTGTTGCTCATCAGAGGATATGAATTGAGAAAAGAAATATAAAATATAACAGTGAATGCAATAATACAATGCAGCATCCTAAAACGCTATTGCTGATTCCTAAAGTGTTTTCAAACAAACGTGGCATTAAAAGCTTTCCTTTGATTTACCATAAAGAAGTCAAAATCCTGACGTTTCATATTTAATGTTACAATACTAATATTTTCTATCAGCTCATTACGCACCTAATACATACATAACTGATTGATTTTAAACCTTTTAGTCAATAAAACCAAAACAAGGAATCAGCTACTGCTAAGAAGTACACAAAAGATGCAGTTGCACAAGCCATGTTTTAAACAAGAGGTCTAAACCCACAACTCAAAACTTGAACTTTTCTCTTACCTCCCTTTTCACTGTCATAATGTGAGGCATCAAACTGGGCGTCGTCATTGGGGAGCTGAACACTGGCTATCACAAGGTGGTTTTGCTCATCCGAAGTATGGGTCCCAAGAACTAGCCGGTGAATGCTGAAATCTTTGCCTTCGGGTCTGCAATGCCATTAAAAAATGAGACGGGGTTGAACTTAAAAGGAAAAAAGAAAAGCTAGACGGATTAAATAGAGTCAGTGAACACTGCAAAGAAAAAACATCCTTTGAACACTTAAGGCATCCCTAAGTAATAAGAATATTTTGCTAAGAAAATGAAGAAAGAGCCAAAAGCTCTGGCTATTTCGTACATTTTCAAAAACAAGGCAGACTTTTTGTGGAGGAGTGGGGGAAAGACCACCCAGATTTCTTCTGCTACAGCTACACTAGGGCTCCACTGGGTAGAGGAGGAAATAAAAGCAGAATCTGCTTGTAGAAAAATCTGTTTGCCAAATTCTTTTGAGCCAAAGTACCATTCCACACAGGAAAGAGCTGTACAATAGAATATGGCCTAACTCTGAGAAGGCGTTACAGTAAAGGTATGTGAATCCCAAGAATGAGAGAAATAAATTCAAGTCCCACCTTAATTGGTTTAGCATTAAGATGAATTAGAGAGGGGCTTTGATAGCTTCCTGGTACATTGTAATTATAGGAAAGCCTGTCCCAAGACTCCACATGATTCCCGTTTCTTGGCTATTCCTACCTTCAAGATTTGACTATTATTTTCCCAGGACTGAGTTAATTTTTCTGCAACAGCTACATTTTAGATTTTGTTTTGGCCGAACACTACATAATGGTTTAGCAAAACTTGTGGAACAAAATTTATTTTGATTTAAAATAGGTGTTTACGTTTCACCCTTGTTTATTATAGGTTAATAAAAACAGTTGCAAAAGAAAATTAAAAGTATGGTGAGGACTACTCTATACATTTAAATCTTACCCTCAATATGCACATGTTAGAACTCAATTCCTATAGAACTTAGAGGACTAGAAAACTAAACACTTTTATAATTTTATGCTGAGGGAGCAAGCAGACTGCAAGAAACACATGCACGCATGCAAAGATTATTGGTACCTAGAGTTAATAGGAGCAAGGTCTTTAAGTTATGTTTATGCTAAATGCCTGTTTATTCAGAAGTCTCACTGTGTTCAATATTTATACATGCTTAAACTGTAATTCTTAGAAAATTACCTGGTTACATCAGGAAGCCACTGAGCAGTCAAGCTGGGCCATTCTAAGGCATGTGTCATTACAAGATCATAAAGAAAGGGGGTATTCTTTTTCCATATTTTATATTCTTCATTGATAACCCGTTCCTCCACAGCATCATCAAAGGCAGCTAAAATATAACATCAACAATGCAATTGAATTAATTTTATAGTTGCATGAAAACAAATTATTAGTAAAGCAAACTATTCAGAATGAGATAAGAGAGGAAAATACTTTTTATATATCACAGAAGTATTGATATATACTCACAACCTGCAAAATGCACAAAATCTAGTTAATTAAACCTGCAATCCTACACTTATGTGACGTTAACGTAGTCAGGATAATTATCACCCATATACAGAGGAGCACATCATTTTTTTCTCTGTGGTCAGAAATTATTTTACACAACATCAAGGTTAAAGTTCCAAGTCTGCCGGCAATCTTTTTCAGAAGACGGAACGCAACAGGAGGGGGGGTCAGATTGTCATTTCTCCTCCAAAAGACAACCGGATTCTGGCGTGCAGCACAACAAAGAGGCCGGGCTGAGGCCTCCATCTCGGCTACCAAGCGGCGATGCTTCTTCCTGGTCTGCTTCGTCTCAAGGAAAGCAACCAAACCGCGCGGAAGAGCGAGACCGGCTCACGGCGCTTCCCGCTGCCAGAGCAGCCGAGAGGGCTGCGCTGGGCCCACAATGGCAGGGAACGCGCCCCCCCCCCCCCGCCACGGCCCGGCCCGCAGGAGCCACGGGGCTGCGCCGCCCAGAAAGGCCGGGGCGGAGGAAGGCCCAGCGGCCCCCACTTACGGCCTCGTAACCCTCCCGCGCCCGACGGTCGGCTCCCGGGCAGCCGCGGCACGAGCCTCGTTCCCCCGGAGGGCGGCGACCCGGCTGCTGCTGAGGGCGGCGTGGGGTTGCATTGCCGGGGAAATGGGGGGTGGCAGAGCGCCAAACCGCCGCCCCCCCTTCCAGGAAACAGGGAAAACAGTCGGGGAGCCCGCCCGGCAGCCCCAGCCGGCCCCGAGATTCCCGCCGGCCCCTACCTGAGCCATCGGGCAGCCCAGCCCGTCTCATTCCGGCGCACTTGCAGCCGCCGCTGCCGCCGCCGCCACCGCGAGACCCAGAAGCGCGGACACCGCCGCGGGGGAAAGAGTCAGAGCGGGCGGGCCCAGCGCGCGGGGCGCACCCTATTGGGCGGCGCCGGGGATACGGGGCGGGGCCAGACGGACAGGCGCCGGGATTGGCTGAGGGGCTCCCCGCCAGGGCGGGAAGGGAGTGCGGGAGCGGGGCCTGTTCCGGCGGAGTCCTCCCCTCGGGAGAGCGCGGCTCGCCTACCTTCCTTATCCGCCATGATGGCGACTCGTCGAAGGGGCGCGCGCGGCGGCGCGGCTCCCGGTTTCCGACGGCTGACTGCCTGGGCACGCCTGTTATCGTTTGGCGAAGCCGCCGCCGGTTCCTTTGCGGACGCCCCCCCCCTCGTTCGCCCGTCGCCTCAGAGCCGCAGCCGCGCGCAACGCGTTCGCGCCAAAGGCAGCCAATCGCAGACCCTCACCGCCGCGGCCTCCTCCGCGAATCACGAGCGCGGGAATGGCGGAGGGGGGCGGGGCAGGAAAGGCCACGCGCGCGCCAGCTCCCTGCCGCTCCCTCCTCCCCCCCCTCCTCCCTCAGCGCGTCAGCCGCCATTTTCGTCCGAGTCCGGGCTGGGCTGCGCTTCCCCGCGGCCCGTCCCTCTGCCCTTCGCTCGGAGGAGGCCGGGCCTTTCCCCCTGCCGGGATAGGTGGCCGCGCAGAAATCCGGCCGGGGAAGCCGCTTTGGAGGAGGCAAAAGGGAGAGCGGGGCCGAGGGTGTCGCCGTGAGGTGGGATCGGATCTGCCGGGGCTTGGATAAGGATAAGCCTGGGATAGGACCCCCCAGTCCACCGGCCAGCCCCCAACCCAGCGCCGAGGGAGCCTCTGCGGGCGCCTCGGAGCAGAGCGGCCCGGCCCCATGGCGGACGACGGGCGGGACTACGGCCTGACCGAAGCGCAGCAAGGGGTCAAAGCCAAATACCCGGCCATCCAGAAGAAGTACGAATGTGAGTCCTGCCCGCCTTTCGGCTCCCTGCCATGGGCGAAGGCGCGAGCTGCGGGGAAAGTTCGGCGGCCTCGCCTCCTCCGCCCGGGGGACCCAGATGCAGGAGGTGCTGCTGCTGCTGCTGCTGCTGCTGCTGCATGGACGGCCGGCGAGGAGTCAGGCGGCCTTCGCCTCGTTTCAGCTCCTTCATCGTAATCAGTTGCTTCTTCGCACTTTAATACTCCTTGGGGAGGTTTCCCTTTCTTTTCCATTGGTCTTTGCTCAACGATGGCTTTTAGCAGAGGCCGCCAAACTTGGCCGCTTGAAGACTTCAACTCCCAGAATTCTCCAGCCAGCTCTGAGAGTTGAAGTCCCCCCGTCTTTTTTTTTAATTTTATTGTTTTTAAGACAAACAAAACATAAAAACATCAAGCCGTCTTCCATATATATACATACAGTGTGCCGGTTGGTTTACAAATTGTTTTGTGCTTCCATTTCGTAGTCTTCAATTACAATTACATTGCATATAATCTCGCATTTTCAATCAAAAATTAAATACCTTAGTATCATTATTAATCAATCATTTGACTGTACTTTTATTCATTCATGTTTTACAAGATAATCATAATTTAGTTTATTTATAACAGTTCATATTATCATCCCAAATCTATCCTAAAATCATTTTGTAGATATAATAAGTACATCTTTATATATTATTTTCTAAAAGTCTACATATTTCATTACTGTATTTTATTGTCTAACCATTGATAGAATAGATCCCAAATTTTATAAAATTGTTTATCATCTGATTTCAAATGTCAGTCTACTCATTTCAGCACATTCCAATATTTTCTTAATAATTTCCTCCTGTAATGGTATTTTCTCATTTTTCCAGTTTTTGACAAATACAATCCTAGCCGCTGTTAATACATTTACAATCGGATATTTCAATTCTTTACTATATATTTCAGGTACAATTCCCAATAATAATATCTCTGGTTTCAAGTCTATATGCTTTTTTGTCATTTTTTCCCAACCACATGTGGATTTTAGACCAGTATTTTTTGGCATCCGCACAAGTCCACCACTTATGGTAATATGAGCCAGGTGTCTGATGACATTTCCAACATTTTTCGGATTTATTCTTGAACATTCTTGCTATTCTTGTCGGGGGAAAGTGCCACCTATAAAACATCTTATACGAATTTTCTTTATATGCTGTTGACATTGTCATTTTATAATTTAGAGACCACAGTTTTTGCCATTTCTCTAGATCAATCCCATATCCAAAATTCTTCCCCCAAGCAATCATAGTTTCTTTAACTTGTTCTTCTAATTTAATTTCTAATAAATATCCATACAATTTTTTAATCACCTTTTCATCAGTACCTGTCAAAGTCTTACCTAAATCAGTCAGTTTATCATAGAAACCTTCTGTTTTAGAATCTTTGTCATACCTTGAATTTGTGCATATGAAAACCAATTCATCTTTATACCTTGTTTCTCTAATTTTTGCATAGATTTAAGTTTACCCTTTTCATTCAATATTTCACCATATCTAACTGTTTGTTCCTTTTTATATATTATAGGACAGGAAAATGCTTCAATAGTTGATAACTAGACTGGAATTTTCAAATAACATTGCCTTTTAGTCTTCTCCCAGTTTAACTACAGAGACTCCCATATATAATGTCTTCGAAAATACCCCTGTGTTTTAGTTCTTTTATACCATAGAAAAGCATGCCACCCCAACAACAGATTATGTCCTTCTAATGTCAACAATCTAGTATTTCTTAATGTTATCCATTCCTTAACCCACATCAAATTTGTAGCTTGGTAATACAACTCCCAATTAGGCAAACCAAATCCTCCTCTTATTCTGGCATCTTGCAAACGTTTTAACTTTATTCTCGCTTTCTTACCTTGCCATATATATTTCAGCAAATTTTATTTAAATCTTCAAAATTATCTTTTCCAAGCCTAACTGGAATTGTTTGGAACAAATATAAAATTCTGAGTAATATATTCATCTTGATTGTTGATATTCTCCCTATTAATGATAGTTGTAAAATTTCCCATTTCACCAAATCTAACGCTATCTGCTGCTTAAGTTTAATATAGTTATTCTCTTTTACTGTACTACATCTTGCTGTCAAATGTATCCCCAAGTACTTGATCTTATTCGTGACCTGGATTTTCAATAGATCCGCCAGTTCTTCCTTTTGTCTTGATAGCATATTCTTTGTCAAAATCTTTGTTTTGTCTTTATTTATTTTCAAACCAGTCACCTTTCCATATACCTCTATCTTTTCTATCAATTTTGATGCTGTTTCTAGTGGATCTTCTAAAATGAAAACCAGATCATCTGAGGATGCTTGAAACTTAAATTCTTCCTTCCTAAGGAGATAGGTCTACAGTTCTTGATTTGTAACGGATGGGCCTCCTCTTTTGGGATAAGTGTAATATAAGCTTCTAACCATGATTTTGGTATCTTCTTCTTTAACATAACTTCATTCATAACTTCTAGCAATGGAAGGTTCAACGATTCTTGTAGTTTTTTGTAAAATTCTGCCGGAAATCCATCTGGGCCTGGTGCCTTTCTATTGTTTTGCTTTTTAAGTGCTTCAGTTAACTCCATCCTTTTATTGCTTTCTAACATTGTTTCAATCTCTTTAGGTATCTGGGGTAGATTAGCATTCTGTAAGTACTCTTTCCTCATCAATATTATCTTGTGTATATAGTTTCTCGTAATTGTTTCGTATAATTTCCTTCTTCTCTTTACTTCCATAGCAAACTTGGCCTTGATCATCTATTAACTGCAATATTTTCCTTGATTCTTTCTCCTTTCTCAGTTTATATGCTAACCATCTACCTGGTTTATTTGCATCTTCAAAATCGTTCTGTTTCGCACCTCTGATTTTCTGTGCTAGTTCTTTTTCCATTAGTCCCATTTTATGTTTAATTATATCCATTTTTAACTTAATGTTCTTTTTCTCTGACATTTTCTGTAGCTCTTTTTCAAGTCCTTTATACTCATTCTCTAATGTCTTAGAGGCTAGTCTTTTCGTGGTATTTCTTTTCCTTGTATAGTCTATTATCAAGCCTCTGGCATATTCCTTCGTTGTATCCCATACATTCTGGATTGATGTGTCTTTTTTGTTTTCTCTAAAGAAAAAGGCCAGTTCTTTCTCCATCCTCTGTATGAAGTCTTTTTCCTTTAATATAGTATTATTTAACGTCCATCTAGATCTTCTTTGTCCTTTCCATTTAATTGTCATTGGATTGTGATCTGCCCAAGTACTTGTTTCAGTATTTATTTCTTGAATATTAGTTATTAATTCTGTTGACATCCATATCATATCTATTCTGGACCATGATAAGTGTCTATTTGAATAGAAGGTGTATTGTTCAGTCTTAGCATTTCTTTCTCTCCATGTATCTTTTATTTCATCCACCATTTAAAAAAAAGATTTAGGGAGAGTCTTTCTATTTTGCTTTATTGTTTTCTGTGCTGTATAGTCCAGTTTGTTGTCTACAATTCCATTAAAATCTCCCATCATAATTATATTAGCATAGACCAGTTCAACTTTTTTCATATGTAATTTTTTGTAGAATTCTTCTTGTTTGTCATTCGGAGCATAGATTGCAGTCAGGAGTGTTTTCGTATTATTATCCATTATTTCCACCATTAGTATTCTTCCATCATCATCAGTATAAATCAATTTTGCTGGGGTGGTCTCTTTAATATATAAAACCACTCCTCTTTTCTTACATTGTGTCAAGGAAGTAAATATTTTCCCTAATTTTGGCTGTATCAACAATTGTTCATATTGTTTTTTAATATGTACTTCTTGTAGACAAATTATATCAAATTTTAATTTCTCTAATTTATGGAAAGTTTTCCTTCTTTTAACAGCTGAGTTAAGTCCATTTATGTTAATTGTAATCAGTTTTTTCTCTTCCATTATTATATTTTATAGGTAGGTTTAGCAGCTCTCGTAGATCTTAGTTCATGTTGCTCTTTAACTTCCACCTTTCCGCCTACTGCATCTTCTTTTTCAGTCGCTATTTGGCAGTCCTCTTGGAATTCAATTAGTGACATTTCTTTTTCTGTCTCCTCTTTCCCTCCAAAATATTCTGTATAAAATAATTCAGCTTTCTCAATTGAATCAATTCTATGCCTCTGTTCTTGCCATGTGAACATTAAACTTTCTGGAATCAGCCATCTATAATTCACCTCTTTTTAAAGTAAAATTTTAGTCAGAAATCGGTATTCTCTTCTCATCTCTCTCCTGGGTACTTGTTTCAGGACCACAATCTCCTTGTCTTTATATTTCTTAAAGCGGCCAAGTTTGGGGTTCTGGGAGTCAAAGTCTGCCAGTCTTAAAGCGGCCAAGTTTGGAGTTCTGGGAGTTGAA